GTTTTTTCCTCTAAGAGCCTTTCCAAAATGGTAAAGAAACTATTCCATTTAGTTGGGAGATCTTGTTTTAATTTATGTGTTGGTAAATATAATAATTACTAATAGGATTTCAAATATCTGCTGGCTGATTCACTTCTATGAAACTGGCCCACTATTTTACGACATTTCTGTAACAATTCTAGAGATGCGAAACAACAACAAAGGTGTAACCACTGTCGTGAAATAATTTAACTTCACTACAAATACAACACCTTTTCAATTGCCTAATTGTTCGGTATATGCGACTGAAGGCCGGAGATAAAAAATCAGCCGAATAAGCCGAACACCGAAGCCAGGCCGAACCTTCGGTTGGACACTAATAGGTAAGTACATATAAAAAGTTTGTCAAAGCGTATGAGTTTTCATACTTACATACATATCGTTGCCTTAATAGACATAGAAAAGCCCCAACTCATTTTTCTTTGAAATCCAGCCTTATGAAAACGTCAATTTATAAAGCTTTTAAAACCTTCTTTATTTTTTGTGAATCAGGCCATAAGAATATAATATAAAAATAACTCTCACTGTATTAAATTATTTACATAAAGCCTTCGAAACTTAAGATCCTTACTTTTTATTAAAATAAAAGAGTGCTATGAAATAAAATTTTAGATAGGGCTTTTCTATATTAAGGTAACGATATATTATATATATGTGTATGTATGTACATACATACATATGTAATCATACCTTGTAATGCTATTTTTAGTCCGAATTTTATTACTTGTCCCCATTCTTTACAGATTTTTACTAGAAATTCAAAGAGATGTACATATTCAAATGTGTTTCTCATTCCAAAAAATAAGTATAGGGGGTGCTGTGCAAGCAGTGAAGAAAACAGGCTAAATCTCACGGTAAGTAAAGCAATGTAATAAATCATCGAATGATGTGTACGCATGAACGTACATTTCTAAACGGAAAAGCGTTTAGAAATATTTTCCTCGTTTAATGATACACACGAACTTTTGCGCATACATACATATGTACACTTTACCATCAAAATGTTCTAGTTTTTAAGTTACCGCGCAATGTGAAAAACGAAATCGTTCTCCTCCAATTCAAAAATAGTATCGTTAATGTGAGTCTACTGCGCTCATGTAAAATACTCGTACAAGCGCGTTTTTCACTCTCGTTTCGTGTAGAGATTTTTACATGCATATTAACATATTTGCATATGTAGAGATGTACATATTCGTATGTATGAACATTCTATTGACCAAAAAAAGCGCTATCGTAGAATCTTAAAGTAAAGCCCATATTTATTTTAATGAATATTCAAAAACATTCCGATTAATGTAATCCAACGAATTATAATGCAATGCACGATTTTATAAAGCGCGTAAAAGGCCTTACGTTGTACAATAGGGTGGTCCAAAAATGCATGTGGGAAAAAGTAAAGTCGGCATTTTTATGCTCTCACCCCCTAGGATTCTTCTATACTGAAAAAATATACCCTTATTTTTTGGTTTTGAAACCAAAAAATATTAGAGGTTGCTCAAAGCGCTCAAAGTTTGCCATGTATTTTATTGGGAAAAACAACTTTTCGTAGAAGTCGTGTAGAATTCTTCAAAATCAATATTTGTTAATCTGTTTCTCTGCAGGAAACTCCCAATAATAATACCCAATTGTTTATTTAACCATATTTTCATAGCAACTATAATATATAGGTCCGCAAAAATTTCCAAAAACCCCGAAAAATGCAATTGGGGGACCAATAAAAAATCGTTAGTATAAAAAATAGTTAAATAAATAATTGAATATTTCTATTGAAAGTCTCCTGAGGAGAACTGTAGTTTTCCTATCGAAAAATATTGATTTTGAAGAATTCTATACCATTTCTACCAAAAGTTTTTTTTTTTCTCCATATAAAATACATAGAAAACGTTGAGCGCTGTGAGCGAGCTCTAAATATTTTTTGATTTCAAAATAAAAAATAGGGGTATACTTATTTTCGATATAGAACAATCCCAGGTGGTGAGAGCATTAAAAGTTCGGGTTTACTTTTTTGGATCACCCTATTGTACACACAGCTTTAGTATATATGTGCATGTATGTATGTATTTATTCACATATGCAAGCACAAGTCCAAGCTTAATCCAAATTGAAAAGCGTTTATATAAAAAACTACTTCTACGGCATTTCTTCGGTTAGTTTAGAATGTAAATAGCACATTGTATTTGAAATTCAAAATACGAGTATAAACAAATACAGTAGAATAGTTCAGAAGAGCTGCCGCACATTTGAGAGAAAGCGAAAGTTCTCATGGAAGTACTGACAAATGCACAAATATATGTAAACACATACGTATGTATGTATGTATGAATATACATGTGTATATATAAGTAAACCTACTTCACGATACAAAAATAACTCATTATGATTGCCTTTTATTAAAAGAGAGAATATGATAGAAAAGGAGTGAGAGCATTAGTTATAAATACGTATAATACTTTTTTCGCTTATTTCGAAATACTTCAACAAAAGAGCGGTGGACTATATTTACTTAGATACATACATATGTACATATTTAGCTGTTATGGTTGGAAGGCCTAGGAAAGGTGTTTTTTCGACTTAGTCGGAGCAAAGACAGAGAGGTGTTAATTGAGTGGGTTTTGGGGGACTTGTGAAGAGGTGATTACTGTCATGCGGGGAACCTTAATATGCACGATATATATACATACATATGTGCATCTGTTACATTATCCAGACCGTAATTGTGACAGACTATGACGAGAAACGTATAACGATTATGCAGCTTAAAAGCAACAAAGCTGCTAGAGCTGACGGCCTGCCAGCCGAGCTATTCAAGTAGGTGGCGAGGGGCTTATAGGGTGCATGCATCAACTCTTGTGCAAAATAGGGTCAGATGAACGCCATGCCTGACAACTGGAATTGTAAGTTTTCTCTGTCCAATCCACAAGAGAGACGATCCCGCCATACGCGCCCAACTACTGCGAGATCAGCCTCCTAAGCATAGGTTACAAGGTCTTATCGAGTGTATTGTGTGAAAGACTGAAGCCCACCGTCAACGAACCGATTGAGCTTTATCAGTGGGGCTTTAGGCCTATTCACAATACGCCAAATCTTGGAAAAGACTCGCGAGACTGATGTGTGTAATGACGTTGGGCAATGCCACCAGCTCCGTCAGAATTGGGAAGGACCTCTCTGAGGCGTTTGATACCAAACGAGGTTTCAGACAAGGTGACTCCCTTTCATGTCTTTTCTTTAATCTGATGTTGAAGATGATTATAAGAGCCGCAGAACTGAATGGCTCTGGCACAATACTTTACAAGAGCATGGAATTTCTGGCGTATGCCGACGACATCGGCATTATCGGTAAATACAAGGGCTACGTCAGGTCGGCCTTCTCGGAATTAGATAGAGAAGCAAAGCGAATGGATCTGGTGGTGAACAAGGACAAAACCCAGTATCTCCTGTCAGCACACAACATTCAAAGAATAAGCATCTTGGCACCCAGGTCACTGTTGACAGTTTCAAGTTCGAAAATGTAGACGACTTCGTTTTTGTAGGAACCATCATTAACACCAATAATAATGTCAGCCTTGAAATCCATTGGAGAATCACTCCTGCCAAAAAGTGGCTCTAGCAAGTACCTATGTATGCAGGTGCTCACGTCGGTAGCAACCGACCAAGAACTGCTTTCTTGATGTTGTTCTGTCGACAGCAGAAGACACCCTGCAGCTGTATTGTGTTGTGGCACTTCTGTAGCTTCGTCCACTGCGTTTTGCTGGTCCCCGGTGACCAAACTGGCGCAGAGTAATTAAGTACCGGCCATCCACTTGCCTTGTATGTTGCCAACAACATTTCTTTACACGCGCGGCGAGCGGTTCGAGGCCTCTGTTGCTGCTCTGTACGTTGTTGGCAAATGTAATTGAAGGCGCGGAGAAGGAGAGGCACCTGCCAAAATGAACCCTATTAGGGCTATTCACAGCCGTCGACGTGATTTCCCAGCTGTAGCCTGACCTCTTTTGTCATATGACTTTGGCTTATGAGGTACCGGATCCAGCCATCCGTTACCGCCAAACTTATACTTATATATAACCCGAATCCAATCGGGTGTCTCACTGATCCGCAGTTTTACGTTTTGACCTGGGCGTCCCAATTTTCTGTCATGCCTTAAATTTCTCGACGAAATTTAATTAATCATTGTCGGTTTATAAAAGGTGAAGAAGTACGAGTATACTTTACTTTACGCCTCATCGATCAAGATATTTGCTCTGCAATGTGCTTTTATACATATGTACGTACATAAGTAGTATGTATGGATGTATAAAAACTTGATCGCTCTCGATGCCAAAATGTACGCTCTCGCGCTCTCACAGGTTGAAGCATCAGATCAACAAACAGATCGAAGAAAACAGCTTACGAAAAACGTTGAAATCATTTCGATACTGAATTCGAATTCGGTCATTGTGAATGTTTGTACTCGTATGTTCATACTTTGGTAAGTAGAGTAGCAAGCAATGCTCTTCGCAGTGGCGTTAAAAATGAAAACTAGCTACACGACGAACCACAAAATGCAAAATATTTAAAATCGAAACTTTTCAACGAAAAACGACACGAATGCAGGGGGTTATTTTTGGGATACGCTTTTCGAAACGACGACAACAACAGCTGCAACAACATCGACAATAGCAACATCATACCCATACGACTATCGTTAGTAGCTAGCGGCCGCTAAAACAGCAGCACAGTCAAACCGATGATCGGTCCACCATCGGTCGATATGTGTAGTAGATATGAGCTAACAATCGTAGTAGTGTAGCGGCACAAAAACAAAAATAAAACAACCTATGTACAACAACCATAAGGAAGTGAGGAATAAAAACAAAAATTGGAAAAATTCTAAATAGATGTTGAGCATGAAACAAGCGAATGTACAAACGTATGCAACAACAAAACAACAGAGAATGCAGAGACGGTAGCCGAAGAAGAAGCAGAAGAAGAAGAAGCAGCAATGGCAACCGTAGCGGTTGTAGCGGTATTTGACGAGTTTAGCGAACGCGATGATCGTAGTGTTGGTTGGTAGCCGTAGACGTAATGTTGGGTGGGATCGACGGTAAATTTACCAGATACTTATACTATGTAAAATAAGTGGCAAAAAAACCAAACGTGCGAAGAAAAAAAATTAAGTGAATTGTCGGTGGAGCATTGGCGCGCGTGTGTTTACATTTAGATACAAAAAAAAAAATATTAAAACGGATACAGCGAAGAAGAGTTGCAACTGGGAGAGACTTTGTGAAACAAAATCTCTCTTGACTATGAGCAATAAATTGGAAATCATGGTACGGCTCTTAAGGATATTAAAAGACTATGCTTAAGTTATATACATATACCATACAAATCAATATATGAGCACATGCTTATATGCGCATATTGCACACCTTCATACATATGTATGTCGATAGTAGATCTAAACCGCGATCACTTAAAAAAAATCAGGACGATTTTCTCGCTGATTAAGTACACTAACTAAAAAACTATTGTTACGCCTGTTTTGGTATTAATTGCATTGAATTTGTACGATCCAAAAGCAGTTACATTTCCAGATCTGATTTTTTAGTTAGCTCACCTTAGACCCACATACATACAGTATCGGTCATATCTATAGCACGCCATTTCAAAGTGATATTGTGTGCCACTTATGTCTATTTATTTATTTTTAAGAATTTTCAATTAAAATACAGTTCTTTCTCTAACAAAACCCATATAAACCCAAGTTTAAAAATTTGTAGAAAACTACAAAAAAGGGCAACAAATTTTCACCTAAATTTCAAACTTTTTTCTCGGAAGTGTTTGAATTTTTCTGAATACACAGTTTTATAGCCCAATCAATTTTAGTCTGATAATGTGCAAGTTTCAAGTGACTGAAAGTTACCGTTGATTTTTTAGAATTTTTTTCACCAAAGGTGTTGCGGTTTTCTTCCATAAACAAATAAATTTATTAATAAGTTTATTCATTATATGGAAGCCAATGCGACAAAAAAAATTCGGAAAAATTAACGGTAATTCGTAGCCACTTGAAATTTGCACATTATCAGACTAAAATTGCAGGGGCTAAAAAACTGTGTACTCAACAAAATTCTAACACTTCCGGAAAAAAGTTTCAAATTTAGGTGAAAATTTGTTACACTTTTTTGTAGTTTTCTACAAATTGTTGAACTTGGGTATATATGGGGTTTGTCTGAAAATGAACTAAATTTTAATTGAAAATTCTTAAAAATAAATAAATAAACATAAGGGGCACACAATATCACTTGGAAATGGCGTGCTATAGATATGACCGATACTGTACATACATATGTAGGTGTGCGATATGCATGCATTTTATACATATCTACTAATGTGCATACGAAAATGTATTTGTTTGCATTTTGTGCTGTGGGGGGTGTGCAAATTTGCAGTGACGATTTTTGGCGGCTTTTTGTTGGTTTAAAAAGAAATTTTTTTTTAAGAGGCATTTAAAAAAATTTTCTAAATTTATGTAAGCACATATCGGTGGCTTTTATTCAAAACAACCCATCTGCAATTTTCAGAAAAATTAAATTGTGATATAAAAATTCACCTCAGAGTTAACTGTCATCGATGATATTGATGCTGACCTTGTTTATCGCTTGTTAGAAGAATAAAAGCCCTCGATATTTCACATTTGCCGAACCATAGCTTTTATAGATTTAAAATGTTTTATTGTCACTCAAACTTGAAGCTAATAATAATAATAGACTATTGGCACTTACACATATGTTAGAGTTTTGCCGAGCTTCTCTTCCGATTTGTGGCATGCGCCTTGATGTTGTTACACAAAGGGGAAGGACCTACAGTTTTACGCCGACTCCGAACGACGATTGTATTTTAATGAGAAGCTGTTTTTCATGGCAGAAATACACTCGGAGGTTTGCCATTGCCTGCCGAGGGGCGACCGCTGTTTAGAAAAAAACTTTTTTCTAAATTTTTTTGCGATGTTGGTTTGACCAGTGCTTGAACCCAGGCCCTGCGAAGTGGTAGCGCGCACTGCTAAATACATACAGCTATTTACATACATTCGCGTTTTTTTTTACCTTTACCGCCCATGTTGGCTGAGTTTTCTGTGATTTTTTTCGGTCCCTTCTTAATTCTGGCAACTACAATTTTTTATTCAAAAGTTTTATTCGAACAAAAACTTTTTTTATTTAAGTGATATTTTTAAAGATTTTTTTTTTTACTTGCACAAATCGATTACATGCAAAAAGTTTGACTACATTTAAAAATTAAATATGTATGTGGATAAGTAAATATGTTAAACATTTAAATTCATAAGAATATATGTAGATATGTACATATGTATGTAAACACAAAATACCTATTTCCAAAATTTCAAATTAAATCAGCCCTTTCGTCAATTCTATGTGAATAAATCGTTCCCATAATTCAACGTGTAAAACAAAAACAAATGGGAAAAATTGTTTTTGTTTTGTTTTATAAATTTTGGGAATATATGTGCATGTGAAATTCGCGATAGGGCCGAATACAAAAAAAAATATATTATTTAAATTTATATATAAGTACATACCTACGTAAGATGTGCATATTATGTATATATCTACATAAAGTGTAAAAATGTCATATCTGTATCGATTACCAGTATCTCACTAGACCAAAAAAGGTATTAATTTTTACGAAATATCGTAGTTTATCGACACCTGACTTTCCACTTACACTCGACCTATCTCGGCAGCCAGTTCGAAAACGCGATTTTTTTTCTGGTGCAGTCTAATGTATATCCTACAAAATCTGAAGCAAATATTTTCTTTTAATTGTTGCAAAAACACAGAAGTAAAGTTTCACTTCCACATTAATTAAAATGAGCTTAGAAATAATTTTTCGCATGTTTTGACAAATAGGCTATTTTGAGTTTTGAAGAACGTGTGGGAAATGGTTGTATGCATGAAAATTTTTAAGCGTGAAGGCATGTAGATAGGTGGAGTAAAATGTATGTAAGCTCTTGCATTAAAAATATTTAGATACATAAACATCAATATATAAATATGTACATATATTAACCTATGCATTCGCCTTACTTATGTGCATACATATCTATGTTCACGTGAATGCCAGATAATTAAATAATTTACTAGCCCATTCTTCGTTGAGGTGTTTTTTTTTTTCTTGTGGTCACTCTTGCTACCACTTCGTCCCAACCGAGAGGTAGCTAATCTGACAAGGGACAATATTGCTCTCAGTATCAATTTTAAGCTGCGGGCACACGACTTAAAGTGCGTTTACATATAAAGATAATCTCAATGAAAGCTCGTTTGTAAAACACCCCGTATACACAGGAAAATCTCCGATTATTAGCCGTCAAATTTATTGTGCTTGTAATTCTCACCACACAGAAAAGTTAAGTTCATTCTGTGCCACTGTGATCACGTTGTTCTGCTTTAAAAAGCTATTTAAGTATGTATAGTATGTTTTAATTAAAAATTTTATTAAAAATATCTGTACGAATCGCTTCTTTGCTACCGCCCATTTTGTTTCCTTCCACATTTGTCATTTCTCCTCTTCTTCGCAAAAATAATCGATAAAACTAAATTAAACACCGGAAGTCATCGGTTTAGTCCGAGATTATTTTATAACAACAGAATAACGAGGGACGAATTTTATATCTATTTTCCTAATTATAGATAAGAAAGTTGAGCGCGAAAATTAGGATAATCTCTACATATGTAAACATACTTTTATACTATGTATCCATTGTGACATTTACCCTTGTAAAGGCTTCATAGTCACACCTTATATGCAGTGATCGGACTTCTACCACATTGTGGTAGATCTACCACTTTTTTGAGCATCTACCACATCTACCACTCAAGGTCTGAAATCTACCACATATTCGCGTTTTTGAGTAGTTTTATTTTTGCTTGACATAATTTCCCTAATTTTAAGAGCAAAAATTGTCCAAAACTAAACTCGATATGGTAACAAGAATGACATGATGCAAGATTCCGCATTCCCGGCGACGATGAAATTTCTCAAGTAAAAGTAAATAAAGCCGAATGGGAGGATAAAATAAACTGTAAAATAGTAATTTTCTCAATTTTTCGAGAGGAAACGTGGTTTTTTTATGTTAAATTGCAAAATATATGATTTATAAAAAGAACTACATAATAGCGAAAATGTTAAAAAAGGTGAAATTTTTGTGAAAGTATTAGCAAATGTAAGTGTATCTAAGGTTTCTGAGGCGTTGTTTACTTTTACTTGAGAATTGTCAAAGGCGGCAAATCCCAATTAGCTGTTTCTGGAACGTGCCACAATTTGTTCGCTACTTCGTGATGTGATAAAAAGAAAAGATGGCAGCACTCCGCAAGGTTGCAGAAATCTTTTAAAATATGTTCGAAAAATATCTTAATATGGAAGCAACTGCTTTACACTGTCAAGGAAAAAAATGCCAAAACTCAACGCAATTTTTAGCAACTTCAATCTTGCACTTTATTATACTAAAATTAAATTTTTTAGAGTCTAATTAAAAAGTTTGCCATTTAGGTGAAACCTTGCAGATTTTTCATAATTTTTGTACAAAGTTTGATCCAAACCCAGAGATCTACCACATTTTTTGAAATCTACCACTTTTTTTTTGAAATCTCCCAGATTCTACCACACAGAATTTTTTTAAAGTGCGATCAATGCTTATATATCTGCGCTGTTTCCTGCTCCTCATTACATAACCTACATGGTCGAAAGGCACATCTCCCACATTTTACAAGTGCTTCATTAAGAAAGCCTTTAATCAGTCTTACATCGTGCCAAGTAAGATGGAGTGTTTCAGTTCTCCTTGTGGTTCATAGTTCTTCCGTATTTGGCCAGAAATGTTGCGCTTCATTTTTCATCCAGATATAACAATTTCGCTCATCAACTAATCGGTAATTATTTTGCTAAAGTAGTCGGTTGATAAGACTTCAAGAATTTTGCAGCAAAAATAATTATTTTATCGTACCCCTCCAGATTCCGCTTGGGAGTTACTTTTGGATAGAAGAAATACTAATAAGACTCGTTGAATTTGCGGAGTGTCGAACATACCAAAAGAGAGTTAATAAAAATTTGTAAAAGACTCAATGAATTCCCATATGAT